CCTCTTTGGCAGTGAAGAACCAGCCCGCTCCTTCCTGGACCGCAGCTGCAGCACACGCAGGCCCAGTTTCCATTTTCCAAAAGGAGGAAAAGCAAAATAGGGGGAAAGCATAAAAGAAAATACAAACAGTAGTTCACGTCAAAAATTCCCTAACCCTGAATTTCAAAGTCCAAAAAGCTCCAAAACTCTGAACACTTTGCAAATGCGTCTGCGGCAAACTACTGGTGGCAAGATCTGCCCTAACTTAAGGTGAGGTTATTTATCACGTCTGCGCCTTCAGCTTAGTGTGAGTGTCCATAGGTTTCCCGGCAGGAATTTAACGTGTTTAAGAGCGCTACCCAACCGTGATGGGAATGCTCGTATTAACTAAAATCTGATTTCTGAAATAGATTTGGATCCAAGGGTTTTATATAAGGGATTATGAACCTGGTTTTTTTTTAAAAAATAAGTATAGAAAAAGAACCCCAACTAACCTCAACTAGCATAATGGCCAGACAAGGTTTTCTGTGTAAATTTCAGTATCAAAAAACAGTAAAATATGTTCCAAGTGCTAAGTGTGAGTTTCAAAGGAGCAAGCTCTTCTCAGGACAGTTCCAGACAGCGATCCAGAATTTGCTAAATCCCAGAACAGTAAACTCTTAGCTCTGGTCTACCTAGCCTTGAAGACCTGTGCCTCAGGTGTTAATGATGAACATTTTCTGTTAGGGCTCAAGTGTAAATTAGCCCCAGACATGCGGCCCTCTGCTGGGGCAAGGTCAATATCAATTCGGCCTCCACCTATGGAAGAACCGTATTTACTGGGTCTACTTCCAAAGATACATATGTATATATGTATATACACCCATACTGTATATGTCAGCTAATCATATTCCCTAAAAAGGAAAAATGAAGTCTTAACCAATGAGCACCTAATAAACTCAGTATATATCAAGTACTTTATATTCAATCATAAAAAAGAGCCTACTAAAATGCTAATATAAAATGTAATAAAAAATTCTATCCTAAATATTTCCAATAAACATACATATATGCACATATCAAAAACTTTATATAGGAAGGTACTAAGTTTGCTTTTCAGGAAATACCAGTTACAATAATTTCATATGTACATTTGCTTTATTAAAAGTATGGCACTTAATATAATAGCAGAAGTAATTACATAGCTTCACATCCAGAAGCAATACAATAGTGGAGGCACAAACATTCCTTATTACCAATAAAAGTAAAAAAGTTTTAATATGTTCCATAAGCCCTTAATCGCATAAAATATTATATTTAGCATCATTTACAGCCAGCACACTTATATAAACTAATAATTATCATTACCTCTCTTTTACATTCTGCCAAAGAAATATGCCGAAGTGAATACAATATAGGAGGACACTCAAGCATGAGAAAAATCAAATGTCAGTTCTGAATCATTCATGGGGAAAATGCAATAAACTGTCACAAGCTACTGGACATTGTCACAAGGATTTCACACTGATTTTTTAACGTCTTCAAAAGTAAAATCCAAGAAACTCCACTAAGTGCCATGTGGAAAGAAAAGCTTTGTTTTAACTGCAGCACCTTTAGACAACAAAAGATTGCATCCTGTTCAGTCACACTATATAAATTATGATATTTGTGGAAAATATGTACAAACAGAAAGCGAATGTTCTAACAGTTGACAAATGTCGTTTTGGTACGCAGTTCTTGGACGCGATATTAACATCTGGTGATGAGAACTGCCGCCGTTTTGAGTTTTCCAAACATCATCTTCATGAGATAAGGAGCCTGTAAACATAAGGTGTAAAAAACCACTTAAAAGAAAGATGTAAAGTGCACTCAGTGCACCCTAAGGAGTACTATGTGCATACTCTTAATCAAGTAATATTCAGGATTAAAATACTGTACCATTTTTTAAATGTACTATTTACGATGTAAAATTGCAACAAATTCATAATCAGATCCAGCTGATAATGATGCATCCAAAAGAGGAACTAATTAAAGAAACGATCAGCTCCAAAGACTTGATTCCCCTTGTTTGTTGAAACCAGTGATATGTCCAGTGTTTCATAAGCTCCTTCAAAAATACCGCGTTAAAAACATAAAAGATACCTCCATCCTGATCACGGACACACACAGACTCGCATCGAACAAACCGCTAAGCTTTGGTTACATAAAGTGCAGTTCAATAACGTGCCATCCTAGCCATTCAAACACATCTAGCAATTCTGCAGCTTACCATCTGCAAAATAATTTTCTTTTAAAGTCGGCTAAGGTCCTCTGTTGATATGCATGTTAACAACAACTCCAAAGTTCTTCCCAGACAACCTGCAATGTGCTTTACCATTCTTAAATAACTAACTGGCAATGAAGCCTAAGGACGTACAGCATTCATATTTGTGCTACAACACAGTCAAGGTCTGGCTCTGCTTTTTTTTTTTTTTTTTTTTTTTTCCTTTAAATACCTCACACCTTCTGTTGTATAAAATTTTCAAGTTTTATGATGATACAGGCGGTACATTCCATCACCCTCATAGCAACCTCAGAAGTGAACCTGTCGTTTGGGATCTGCGGGAAAGGAAGCAGATCAGGGTATCTTGTTTTTAAACTGTCTACGCCATAGGCCTCCAGCGTGTGGACATCATTCGTCAGTCCTTCAAGCTGCTGACTGTACTCCTCTATTTTCTGTGCGAGTGCGGTGGGCTTTACGTCTTTATCGGACTTCCCTCTCACAGCGTAGTCAGCGGCGATCAAAGCTAACTTGGTAGAGAGGTGACATTTGAAGCACACCCATTCATTGGCGTTTTTATGAAGGTCATTCCTGGCTGCTGAAAAATTTGCTCTGGCCTGTCTTAACCATCTACGCGCTTCAACCGGATTGCCAACTGACTTGAAAGTGGGAGGGACAAAGAACCTCTGAGAGTAAGTCTGTCCAGCTGAAGGTGTGCTTTTTTCCTTATTTTGTTGTTGCCTTTCAGATTTATGGCTCGTTGCTTCTTGATTCCATGAAGTATAAAATCTTTGAAACGAGTACTTGTCTGACTGAAATCGGGATGCTGAGGTTGAAAATGTTCGCCTTGAGGCTCTGTCTGCATTTTGATCTAGAAAAGTCTGCTTCTCTAGCCTGTTGATTTCGTTCTGCAAATGTTTAAAAACTTCATTAGCAATGTCATGATTCTCTGGATTTTTGTCAGGGTGCCATTTCAAATACAACCGCCTAATAATCTTTTTCCTTTCCGATTCTGGAAGCTTCCAAGCTTGCTCCACCACTGATGTCACTTCTTTTAAAATTTCTGGTAAAGAATTCACCTTGAGCTTTTTGGGGGACGGATGCTTCGAGGATGAGGTCTTTTGGCTCTCTCTGCCGGAGAAAAGAGGAGGAATGGTTCGTAGACCAGGGGCTAGGAACTCGGTAGGGCTGGTCGGTGTAGAAGGGGCACTGTCTCTGCTTTGAGAGCTTTCCTCGGGCCTTGAAAACTTATAGAGATCGAGAGAGCTAACTATTTTATATTCACTGTAACCAATATCAATCTGATAGATCTTTCCCAGAAAACTAGAATTATCAGCATCTTCTCTTTCAACTTCTTGTACGATAATTGCATACGTATACGTTGGCTGGTACGATCCATAGATATCACCACCTTCAGCATCAACAAGGTACCCAACGTATTCTCCCGGGTAAAAAACATTCATTGGATCCATAAGCAGAGTATAATGGATTTCAGCAGGTATTGGAGTGCCGGGCATCGGAAGTTCAAGTTTCGATGGTTCAGAAGAGTCGTATTTTACTCCTAAACTGTCAAGTTTCTCACTGATCCTGTAAATATCATTGCAACCTAGCATAGCAATTAAATACGAAGTGTCAGAGATCAGATTGTCCGTCGCAGACTTCAGCGTCATTGCCAATGCTAACAGGAAGTTAATGTCCTTGCTGTCTGAATGCTGTATGTATAGCAGAATGACCGCGTTGCCAAATCTCTTCAAAAAAGCGAAAGTTTCACTTCTGCTGTGGGGAATAGGGTTAAAACCTTTAACTCTCAGTGTGGTTTGAAGCTTTTCAAAACAGGACACTTTCAATCCTTCTCTTAGGGCTTTGCAAAGTCTTATGGCTTTTTCTTCATTGGCCAGGAAAGCATTATCATTTTCATGCTTCATAATTCTAATCAGTCCTGTGATGAACTGTTCCGAAGACAAGAGTAGCTGCAATCTTCCCTGAAGAGAACACAATGCTCCAAACTGACAAACTTTGGGAGTCTCCTCGTCTAGCTGTTCTTCAAGTATACTGCTCAGTAAACGAGGTCTAAGTTTTTGAGGAAAGAGCATTATCAATTTAGTGTGAAAGCCGTGGTCCTTCCCTAGGTAGCACTGGCTAAGGTCAACCAACATCTGCACGCCGATATTCCCCTGGATTCTACTTTTGTAATGTGGCGCGTCATCAAACACTAAGATGCTCGACTTCACCAGTCTGCCATCCTGGCTTGGAAGGTACAGCGCGAGGTCTCGGACGTTCTCGAGATCACTCCTCACCTTGACCGAATCATTTTGCAGACTCTTGAACAAGCCGGAAACTACTCTCTTAACCGTGCGCATTTCATTAGGATCTAACTGTTTTCCTTCAGAATTTTTGAATATGCGGCTCAACACTTCAACATATTGCTTGGTTGAAATAATATCTTCAGTACCTAGGTGTTTGAACAACTGGTGAAACGTGCCAAGCTCTAAAGGCAGCTTGTACAAGTAAGGTTTAAAATCGGATTCGTATTCTAGATTTATCACTACCTCCTCAGGCTTCAGGAGTTTCCAACCATCTTCCACCATTACAAAAGCAACACCCCGCAGCTGAAACCGAAACTCCCTTTTTTCTGCACTGAGAAATTCATATATGCTCCTTAAGACCTTTGCTCTAGTTTTTACCATCTCTTCATCCAATGTTGTTATGTTGCATATGTTTCTGCAGTTATTAATGACCTTATCAAGAGGAGGATCCAGGTTAACATTAAGCATACTTAAAACTTGTTCGAGCTGTTCCTGCGGACCAAGGTCACTACCTTCTTGTTCTCTGATGCTCAAGGGTGTGGCCTTCTCTGGAAGAATAGGGCAGGATGTCCATAAGAGCTGGAGCACATCACACTGCTTGAATTTGGGGTTTACTTGTGCCCCATTGAACTTTATGAGAGGAAGCGTTCCATTGACCTCTTGATATTGAGGATGAAACCTAATGAACTCTGCAGGGGCCCGCTCAGGACACAAGAACGGTATTAGAGAAAGTTCTTTCAGAAAATTGCCAGATAACAAATCCATTCGTTCTTGGAATATGTGATGGAGAAGGATATCAACTGTATTTTGCAGTGTTTCCTTAGACCAGTTTTCTGTATTAGCTCTCACGCTGATTTCCTTAGCAAACTGCAGCAACTGTTGCTGAGATAGGATGTACTTTAGTCCAATGTTTCTCAAGAATTCCACCCAGGAGGTCATAAACGTGGCTTGATTTTTGGGCTTTATAAGCTGTTCCAATTTTTTAAAGAAGTCCTTAGGAATAAACAATTTTTCAGGAAGCATAACTTCAAAAACTCGCACTGTTCTATCATAAAAATGTTTCGCTTGCTTTAGTCGACTGTTTGCATCGTGGATTATCAGTAAACTTTCCAGTTTTTCAAAAAGTTGTTCCTTGATCTCTGACAGTTCCTCAATACTTGACAGCCTATTCTTAAGATAGATCAGGTGCTCCAATTTTGCATCGTAAGAGAGATTTTCAATTTTGGGTAAGAGGTGCTTCAAATATACCTCAAGATCATCTACAGGTACACAGCCAAGCAACTCATAGAGTTCTTTTAGGTGTATTTTTTCTTCAAGAAATGCAGATGACGACGACTGTGTCCATTTTTCCACTTCAGCTGAAGGAATACTTTTTGTGAGTACATAGCACATTCCAAATTTCGCGATGCTCATGTAGCGACCACTGATGGATTTGTAGCATGGAAGGGACTTTAAAATTTTTATGTCGTCTTGGGACATCAAGTGACTCAGATTGCAGTTGAAATACATCAGAAGTGCTTCAAAGTCATTTTCTACTAATTTTTCGGTTCTAAAGGTTGATGTTTGAACCATATAATGTACGGCCTTTAAAATGCTTGTGGGGCTCTCTATGTTTGCAGTGTGACGGGACAACAGAGGAACAAGTGCACTGTCTTTGGAGCAGATTTTGTTCAAAGCAAGCTGGATACAGCCAGCTTTCATGAGCGCGTGAAAGACTTTATCGCTCTGGGCGTTTGGAAAAACTGCAATGTGCATGAGACTCAGAGGAAGCAGAACATCACCTTCAGGGACTACAAGCTGGTTGGCTGAAACGGTGAACTTTGTTCCTGGAAGCAACGCCCAGTCTTTTAGGGTATCGACAACAATGTCAAATGTTGGTTGTGTTTCTTCTTGATCTTCTTTCACGTTTACAGCCTCGCTGATAAAATGCCACGCGTTCTTCAGCCAAGACTCACTCGCAAAATTGTCCTTCCACTTGGTACAGTTTTTGGTCTTATACTCACGAGGCAACACAGAGGATAACAAATCAGCGAAGCTGGAGATGTCAAACACTTTTGCAACCTTACAGTTCAATAAAATATTACTGTATTTCAAATATAACGTATTCATGAACAAGTCTTTGCGGGATGGAATCAACTCATGGTACGTTGTTAGAAACTTGGGTCGTTTTGCGTCAAAAGTCTGCAAAACACTGTCCAGTGTAATGAGAAGGGGCAGTCCCTCCACTTCAATCTCATTTTCTTCTGCGTCCTTGAAACAATAATCCACTAAAAGTTTCAAACTATGAAAAAGCTTTAGGTTAGTCTGCTGGAGACGACAAGGCAGCTTCCCAACGTGGCAATTAGTGTCAGGAGAAGAAAAGGTCATTAAAAAAGATCTAACATCAGCAGGGGTGACGTAACTAACAGGGATATCCGCATCTATAAGGCAGTGGTACAGATTGGCAGTTTCATCACAGTTATAAACCAAGTTGAAACCGATTTCTAAAAGGAGGTGTTTCAGTCTATAGACATTCTCTGCCACCGTCTTGCGGGTCGTGATGTTATAATCTGCATTCTTCAGGTGTTGCAATTCATCCTGCAGTAAGTTGTCAAAAAACGGTCTGGTTTTATTTGAAGTAGACATATTAATCCAAGTAATTATAACCGCAGAGTGTAAATCCGAGCCATCGATATTTGGAGCCCGTACAACAGGTAAAAGGCGTTTCATGTCTTCGTGAATGCAGCTGTAAAGTGCTTTCACTAGACAATATAAATCTGGTTGTAGGTCAAGCCTGTTAACTGGGAAAAACGATAAAAACTTCTTTAAAGTATCCTTCACCACATGAATCGGTGTGTTCTGCAAAACCGACAGTGTTGGGTCAGAACCAGGGAAATAGCGCTTTTTTAGCTGGATTAGCAATTCAACATATGCAGGAGCTATTAATGCTGTCATTAAACTGTTATTCCAGTCACTGCGAACACCAACTCCATTATCGTCCCGCCACAGATTTCTTCTGGCTGAATCTAGAGCAAAATGGCCGTTCACGTGGAACGGCAATCCCGTCTCTAAAGAGAGGGGCAAGAAACAGAAGGCCCTGTGGGGTTTTTTGTAGTTGTGAGTAATGCAGGCAGCTACTCCGCCACGTGGAAAGAGAGTAATATCTTGGTTCTTGTGAGCCGATATAACGCTCTTAGACACTTTTTCCATACTTGAAAAACCCGACCTATTACAAATTAGCCACGTAGTAAGATTTCCTTCGGAGTCTTCAGTATCCATAGTATAGGTTATCTGTTGGACTGGTATGTCTTTGAGCTGTCTCTTTTTCGTAACACTATCGATTACAGATGCGTGAAACTGTTTCCTTTTCAGTCTGTCCCCGTCGGTGATTTTGCCCTTTACAGAATACAGCACATTCAGGGCTCCAGTACCTTTGTCTATTTCACAAATAGAAATCTTTTCCATGTGATTAAGAAACATTAAAAGTTCTGCCCCATCTGACCGCAATTTGTCCAAAAGGTTCTGGACCATTCTGTCTGATGACGGAACTGAAGAAATTTCCGAAACTTTTGCCATTTCTGCGTTACGAAGAGGAAATCTAAACATTGTGCAATTATCCAATTTAAAGTGGGTTCCCAAGTAAAGATCCAGGACATCTGAGAACTGTGTCCTAAAATCTGCATCCAAATCTCTAAACATGCGTCCAGGACTAACGGATGTGGCTCCTGGTGCGTATCTGGCATGAGGATCAAAGATACACAGGATGTCATTGCCAGAAATGAAAGAAGGGCAGTCGGTAATATGATACACAGAATTGAATCCTATTCCGTACTGCCCAGTTTTACAGGGATTTCCTTCTTTGGTGCCTTTTCCAAGGTTCTGAATTCCCCTGACGTCATCCTCCGTGAAAGGTTGGTTGTTGTACACACAGAGCGCTGGCCCTTGCAGGGGGGCCCACTTATCATCAAATATTCTGTCAACTGGATGCTGTCTAGGATCAAACACAAAACAGATTTCTGTGGCCTTTGCATCATCGGCATTCTGAAGAAGTTCTTTCAACATTTCCTTTTCTGAAGGATAGGCATTAAGGATACTCTTGATTCTGCTGGTCAGCTTCTCTTTCTGCCCAAATTCCGTGCCAAGTGTCGTGAAACAGATGTTGGAGGCGTACCTCTCCAAGGCTTTGTGTCGCTTTGGGACCGCTCCTAGTTTCACAGCTACTTCCCTGGGTATATCAGCATGACAGTATTTCACGGTGGTGTCCTTAACTTTTATCCAGGGACAATCGTTGTAGCATAAAGATTTAGCAGGGAGAAGCTTAAGATTAGTATCTGGCAGTAATATTTTGCCATAATTTTTCTCACAAAATTCTTGTTTCTTTTCTCTAATGAGACTCCATATTCCTTCACTAATTATTCGCCGGCAAAGCTGAAAATTCTCTTCTGTTATTTGCTTTGTTCCTTTCTCCTGATCAATAGATTCCAAAACAAGGGCAAAGTCCTCAACAGTAAATGACTGCCGCACGCCCACACTTTCGAAAAGCTCACGGAAATTGTTTTTGTATTTATTAGGCAGCTGATAAAGGTAGGGTGCTGCCTCGAAATTCAAGTGAAAAGACACTTTTTCTGAGTCAACATATGCATTCTCAACTAGAATGAAGCTAAAGGGCTTTAGCTTTTCAACAATTGACATCTTAGTGACCTCATTTTGCATCATTGCATCATGAAGGTATTTGTAGCAAGCATTGGTGATGTTCTCCTGGTACAATGTTATCCCATCGTCAACTGACTTTGCAACTTCTTTCAGCTGGTTCACAACCAGATCAACTGTCGGCTTCCTCAGTAATCCCAAAAACTCCTTAACAGCCAGTGACACCGAACCACACCCCCTGAAGGAATGTGAGTTTTCATTTAGAATTGGTTGCAGGAGACAAACTATATCTTGGTGCTCAGCCGTGTAGAGATCAGTTGCTGCAAACATGGTTTCGGGCTTAAAACTGTTACCTTTCCAGTCCAAAGAAAATCCTGCCGGCTTTGTCAGAAATGGAAGGAAGGGGATTGTTTGATATTTTGCAGCAAAATCCTTTGCCCTAGGATCTCTGATTTTCAGCTTTTCATCAATGAGACTTAACAGGATGCTACTTCTCAGACAAGCAGCAGCATGATCGCTTTTATTAATTTCAGCCACTGACTGTGCACGTTCTAGCATGTCGTCCCACAGAATGTCATCTTTGGCCATACCTAACTGAACCAGCTTAATCAGAATAATAGGATTAAGATAATCCTGAGTGGAGCCATAAGGAAAGCGTCCATCTTTAGTATCAAACAACTTGGCGACGCGTCCTTCAGGGTGGATTAGCCTTGATGGCAAAACCAGAGGATGCCCCTGCAAAGAGCAAGGGATACATGGGGTAACACGAAGAATTCCTGAGAACTCATCAATTTTCTCATTTAGAACAAAGTTCATTAAAGGATCTCTGAGCTCTGCTTCGATTTCTTGGATATTTGGGAAAAACACTTCAGAAAAAAACTGCTTCTCTGAAAAGGTATTTTCAAGCAGTATCTGTTTGCAGCCAGCTTCTTCAAATCCTGCTTTTACTGAAGAAGGAAGTTCAACAGCACAGAGGTTCCTTGACCCGGTCTTCTTGAGGTATTTCAAAAATATCTTGAAGGCTGCTGGGCCAACATCTTTTCTTTTAAGTATAGAGTCATCCAGAAATCTCACGTTCTTCATGGAAACCCACGTAGATCCGTCAGAGAAGACTTTGGTCAGTTCTTTCCCTTTTCCATGAGCTATATCTTCATAAAATCCTTGGCAAATGACAGAAAAATCATCATGGACTAATTCAGGATCGGGCCACACCGAGTAGTAAGTATAATCCATTAGCTCCCCATTAATAGCCAGGTCGCGTAGGACGCTGAGGGCCTCCAAGTAAGCCCGCACAATAACATGCCTCATGAAGGTGGCATTCCATCGTCCTTTCGTGTCTGTCTTCCAGATTTCTTTTCTGTTTGAAGTAACAGCGAAACACCCATTGATGTGAACCGGCAACCCTGTTTTTATTCGTAAGGGTAAATAGCAAAACACTTCTCCCACGTGTGGCTTCACAGCCCACTTCTGGTCCTGGATTTCGGACAGCAGAACCCCCACGGCCCCACAGGGAACCAGCCCTAGTCTTCGCCCACTTTCATTCAGGGAAAACTTTAGAGCCTCTCCTGTGTCCATGCAGGTGCATATCAACCATGTGGTACACTCTACTGTTTTTTGAGGCAACTCATCTGACGGCTTTTTCGACTGGCCAGACTTAGCCATCTCGAAGAGAGCCGTTAGGTCATCCTCTGGACCTCTGAAAAGCGGTGACTGCAGATCAGCAATCCTCCTGAACACATGGTGAAATTCTTCAACTGTGACCTGAAGAATGCAAGACGACTTGGGGGCATCGGCAGGAAGCTTTTTATTACTGCTGCTGCAACTCTTCATGAGCCTAGAAGCTTCTTTTAAAACACTTAAGACAGGGGCACTCACTGCTTTGGAAGAGCAGGGGCTTTTCTTAATGATCACCGTATCTTGCGCCAAGCTGGGATTGCTCTCCTCGATTTTCAAGTACTTCAAATACATGGAGTTCACACTCTGAGTGAAAATGATAAGCCTGTGACCACAGAGACTAAATTCATCCACAAGAGAGTAAATATCTGCCGTATTGTAGCAAGTACTACTAACTTCACTCACTTTGGCTTCCTGTTGCGTTCTAAAGGACAGTCGGAAAAGAGTTCCATCGTAGCTGTAAGGGGCTTCTACGGTCAGAGGTAACCGACAGCCAAATACGTCTATAAATGGTTTGAACTGATTGGGAAATTTCCGAAGTCTTTTCTGCTGTTTACTCCAATTAATCTTGATCCCAGGATTAGATTTGTCTTTAATGTGCTTACTGATGTGGTTTATGTTCGGATCGAACATTATCATGAATTCTCGACTCATAATGATGGGAATGTCGGTGATATGGTACACGGAATTAAATCCCAGACCAAATTTTCCAACTTTGTCAACCTCTTCCCTCTTTAAAGATTCTCCTAACCTAGTTATGTTCACAAAATCTGAATCGGAGAATTGAGAATTATTGAATGACCACAGAGCAGGTCCGTGGCAAGCCGCCATCCCCGGGTCTAGAAGATTCTCTCGAATGTCCATATTTCTTCGCATATCAATCATGAAACTGCATTCTGTTGCATTTGCGTCATCGGCATTTTGGAGCAGTTCTTTAAAAATATCTGACACTGATGGGTATTCTTCCAGAATATTTTTAATTCTTACAGTAAGCGGTTCTCTCTGACCTGACTGCTCAAATCCCATGTTCTCAGGATTGATCAGTCTTGTGCTGAGGCATGGAACTTTCAACCATTCTGCAGTCTTCATGGGTATGTCCTCGTGTACCAGAATGATTGGCTCCACCGAATCTTCCAGTAGATCATTGAGGTCATCAACTTTGATGTCACAGTAACAGCATTCATGAATTGGCTTCATGACAAGTTTAGAAGGGTTTTTGCTGTGATGTATAGGAACTGGTGTGTTGGGACTGGCTGGAATCTGATTGCTATACAGCCACCTGATGATATTCAACATAAGATGGAGATTTTGCTTGCTTTCCTGATCGCTGAGATCTTGGTCACTTTTGAGATATACCTTCTGAATAACTACGGAAATATGATCCGACGTCAACTCCTCTATTGAACCACAGACCTTAAACAGTTGGTGGAATTTTGCCATGGTTTTAGGCACACCGTGCAAATAGGGCTGAAGATCAAGATCATGGAATGGTTTTATCACAGCCTGGGCGAGGGGACAAAATTTCTTGCCAGTCCAAACCCACGGAAATCTTAAGGCCCTGAAAGCATCCTTCCCTTCATTTAAATGATCATGCATGAAGCCGTAAATTTCCAGCAAAATATGTTGAAACTGATAGTAGTCCTCATCACTAAAGGTTTTCGAAGTATACCAATCAACAACAATTTTAAAGTGTTTTAAGACCGCACTGATGCTAGGTTCTGTGAAGATGCCCAAAGCTTTTTCCAAGTTCACATGGACGCTCTCAACAAGAGGAAGTGACGAGCCAACCAGGATTGCATGGGCTACATCACACATGTCTGGTGGGGCACAAAGGTCGCAGACATCTCCCTTCCAGACTAACGAGCCTGGATAGTTTGGTGGCCTTTCCTTGCAAGCTGGGACCCACTTTATTTTCTTCAGGGTCATCTTTCCTTCAGATGACTGCAACAGCGTATGATTCTTGTTTAAAACAAGTAAGAGTGTTTTGGCTTTCTTTACAAGAACCTCCTGATTTGGACAAGAACTGACCTGTAAGGCTTCGATTTTTTTTGCCACTTGCACAACATCAGCTTCTTCGAGGCTGGCTTCGTTTTTTAAACCAATCTGTCTTAAAGAGTGCAGGATATCTGGTGAGGTAAAAGCTGCGGGTGGGAAACAGGTTTCTTCTTCACTATAAAAGAGATCCTTTAGTACTTCTAGATCAGGATCAAAGAGTTCGCCGGCTGACACCATCCGATCCTGCGAAATCTGAATGAATTTTAATGGCCTTAACCAATCAAGCACATTCGGATTCTCGTTTTTAAGGGAGGACAGATTCTCAAGGGTCCATAACATAAGGCGTGTCAACTCATCATGTGAATAAAATTCATTTTCAATATCTTTTAAGATGAGCTTGAAGCAACTGGTGGTCTTTAACTTCTCTATCTTCAACATGTTTGCCAAGCGAATGGTAGCTTCGTCACTACTGTCTATGACTGAGAGAGAGAGTCGCAGATCTGGTGGAAGCTTGGCGGTATGGTGCAAGACCTTACAGCCTTTTAGTTTTGTATATGAGGAAATGCCCTGACCAGACAAGTGGTTAATCCGCTTGAATATTGGCAACTCCTGAATTATTCTTTTCTCTTTTTCACTGCTATCAGTTAAGGTAGCTAAAAACTTCCTCAGGGCATCTTTGTGCGTGGGAAGTAGCGAAGCTATCTGATTACACAATTTCTGCAGCGGCATCTTCTCCATTATCTGCAGCACAGCACTTGGTAACGGCGAGTGGATGTATTTTTTAACAAGTGGATGCTGTATGGAGGCATCTAATTTCTTAAGGACAATCCCTCCAAGTTTCTGTACGATATCTGCTAAAAATTCAGGAAGCTGTGCTTCGGATTCATCATCTAAAATGACTAACGATGGAGTCCTGAGTCTAATGAGCTCCACGCACGCCTGACCATCTTCTAGCGTAGTTCTGGGGATAAGTGGCATCTCATCAAATAGAGTCAAATCCTCTGAAAAATGTATATAGAGATTCTTCCAAACCATTTTAAGCCAAGAAACAGATGGGTGATTTTTGTCTTCATCAGATGGATACCACTGAACAATCAACTCTCGGCCAGGCCAGAATGTATTCATTACTTCTTTGATAAGACGTGCAAATCGTTCTGGATTTAGAAGCTGCAGCTGGGTACACGGTCTTCCTGTAAATCATACACAGAGATGTTATAAATACATACAACCCTACTCTAACTTGTCTAGGCTTCTAGTCTTACAGATTACGTAGTACTACGAAGCCATTTTTAGAAGGTTTAAGGACACTGTAAAAATGCGAACATTCAGCATAACTGGGCTAAAATAAGTTTTAAGTAACGACAGAGAATCTGCATATGCACTTGTATTTATGGGAGAAGTGATTCTCTTTGGAGAGTGCTTATTTTAAATCAATCCATAAAATGCATTTACATGCATTTTTAAAATGATCCTGTAAGTTTCTACAAATAGAATCAACACAGAAAATAACTTTCAGTGGTTATCTGTCCACCAAAAAAAGCATCAAAGAAAATGTGGGAAAAGCTTAAACAGGTACCATTCTACTTAAGGCTAAGTAATTTATAAAGAAACGCAATACAAATTTCCTTTCTTCGTGTTTCCAGGAGCTGCGCAGGATGAAGGGAGGGGCATGATAATGGGGTCCCAGATGCAAGTGACCAGCACTCTCTGAAGCTGAGGCCGTGAGGAGTCTTCCACAGTTTCCTTCCACGTACTAACTGGATGCCTAAGGTAGGTGTCACTCAATCTTGTGGGGCCCTGAATCCTCTCATCCGGAGAGAGGACGTGGATGAGGTTCTAGGTCCCAAGACTGCTCCGTTCACATGCCCAAGTATAGACCACATTCACAACTTTTCCCGGCAGCTTTTACCTCTCTACTTCTTACTGACTACGGTGGGCTCTTTGGAGCCCTGGGATTTTGTGGAAATGCTTCGGGGAGAAACAAGTGGGGCAGCCAGGTGCTGCTGGGCAGGTGGGACTGTCCCCAGCCAAGTGGCTCTACTTCCAGGTGGTTTATAAATAAGACTCTAAGATTTTCGTCTCGGGGAAAAGACTGTTGCTGATTTTTTAACCACCGGTCCAGAAAATAACATTCGGGCTTGCCACGGCTTGTGTACTTAGCGCACAAGCATTTGCACCAAGTGCATTTAGTGCCTCAGAGTAGTTATAACACCAATGGGAAAAAAATGTTTACATAATACTGTGTACCTATAGGTATGTGTCAGCAAATAAATAAATAAATAAATGGCATTTCAAATTCAATCTTCTGGAAACCTAACAATTTTCTTCCAACGTACATACAATTTCTAGACTCTAAAAGGGTAATTTATGGAAAAAAATGATAAAAAAAAAAAAAGGGGCACACCTCAAGCCCCTTGAAACTCTGGTTTATCACTATTTTTTAACCGAGAAAGGACACCCTTACCTCACAGTCTTACACCTCAGGAAGATGACTTTACCTTCTACCAAGAAAAGGATCCCTCGTGTTACAAGGAGACATTTTAAAACGACTGCCACAGAAATTGAAGCCAGGGCACAGTTTTGCAACCTTTGGGAGATGTCAATACCCAAACGCTGAACACTCTCAGTTTCTACATTGTGTCATTTAGGGTAAGTCACATAGCTACACTTAAGAAATCCTAAGACCTCGTCAGCAATTGGACCAGTATAGCCTCCTTGACCTATGGGCTCCATTAAAATAGACTTTGTATAATTAAGTTTTAACAACAATGTTCTTAAAAAAAATGTTTACTGAATTGAGTTAATAGACTACCCAAGGCAAGGATATGATTTTGCAAGGGTACAAAAAAGAGTTAGAAATTAAAATTCAGAACACTTTGAAACGAAACATTAAATATGCACCACACTGTTCTATGTTAATAGGGGCCACATGACGTGCATTTTGTAGATACTCCCATCTAGTATCCTTGCGCGCAACCGGCAACTTATAAACATATACCCACCTTCAGGAAAAGAATCTAATATTAACATATAAGTAAAATGCCAATAAAGCACCCACACCACATATAACATGCAACTAACACACCAGTCATGCTCAACTGAAAAAACGTATGAGAAAATAAAGGAGAGAGAAAATGAAGTTAAGACACAATTCTAAGTGCTTCAGATAGATTCAATCTGAAGTCCCGATTTCTATTTAGTTTGTATTTAAGCTTTTCACCCTCAAGTATGAATGTTAACGCAGAAAAACATCTTCACGCCCCGGGTCAGAAAGCCGCTGAAAGGCTGAAGCGCCTCCAGTGGGATCAGCCAAGTAAGTCTTGTGCCATTTTGATAAACCACTTGGCTTTTCTCACCTCGGCCTTTCAAATCATCAGCACTGTCAAAAGAGGTCAACTGTTCAGGACTCAAGGAGTCCCTGCAGACAGAAACGTTTCACCTAACCTGTCATCAGACAGGACTGTCTAACTCCGAAGTGACTCTTTTAAAGAGCGGTTTTTGCTTTACTGTCCATCTTTCCAAACTAGTAACATCAACCCGCTGAATCACTCTTCAAAGACTGCGCTGATTTGTGTTTATATTTGTTCACTTGTTCCCGTTCACTACTAACTTCGGGACACGTTTGTGACATGGACAAAAGGATACTATAGAGACTACTCCAACGTTTACTTTCCAAGAGACCCAGTCCTGAACGCTCTCCTCAACTGGGGGCTCACTACACTTGCGCCGACTGGTCGGAGGTGCAGCTGGCTGGCCACTCTGTGCATCGCGGCCGCGGGCACGGCGACAGCTTTCCGTGCTTCGCTTGTACAGAAGGCGGCTGCGGCAGCTCTGACGGCTGATGGGTTCTAGCCACGCTCCACTGCGAAGGGACACCCAAATCTCCCTGCAAATACACGTGCGAGTGAAAGTCCAATGCAACGGTAAGCTAGAGGGGGGGGGTCACTCCTTCCGAGAAACAAAAAGGAAGGAGGGGGAGGAAGGACCAAGTCAAGAAGGGAAAGGGAAGCGCCACGTCTGCCCGCCATCACTCCATCTGGCACCGGGCACGTCTAAGTGGCAGCACCGCGGGTGCCACGGGGATCCGGGGGGTCGCTACTCTAACACGGGCCACGCCAAGGTGGCTCAAAACTCGCACTGGTGACCAAATTTCTTCCCGGGAAGTCCACGCTGACACTCTGCGGCTGCCTTCCTGGAGTTCATCTAGAAGAGGTGAGTGACCGACTGGAGAGGTCACTCGCCGGCATCACCCAGAGCGCCCCCACGGCAGGCGGAAGCCACGCCGCCTACTCCTACCGCCGTCGCGCTTTCCTCTTTGATTACACCTCAAAACTACAGGCCCCGTGAAGGCTTCAAAATATCTAGTAATAGCAGCTGTGGATGACACATCACTTACGAGCCAGAAACCAAATTTCGTATTTATGGGAATCGTCAATATAACCAATGACTTGGTTTCCCAATCAGTTTGAGCACGGGTATAGTTACTTCAAAGAACTGAGCCACTCCAAAAATAGTATTTACCATAAAAGCAATTTCCATAAAGCAAATCTTGCAACCTCTAATTTTCCAGGTGAAACGTGAACTGGGGGAAAATAATACCAGCTGGGTCAAAATATTTTTATTTAAAAAAAAAAAAAAAGACGGTCCGTAAAATGACACACTAGGCTCCGTAAGAACAATCGGCCGACTGCTCCTAAGGAGCACGGTGTCAGCCACTTTGCTTTCCTCGGGCGGGGGGGGGGGGTGCCGAGGAGCGGGTGCTCTCTGCCATTGCCGGCTGCGGCACAGCGCGCCAGGCTCCACCAAGGGCGCCGTAGGGTTCCTCCCCACGGTCCCTGGTCCCAGGACTGGCTCCCTTCTAGCCTTTTTAATCGCAGACATTTATGTGTATCATGTAAGAAAGGGGTGTTCACTCTCCTACTCCCCCACTAGAAACCACAGCTTAAAATACAAATTTCAGCAGAATTCTTTCATTTGAAACTAAGTGTTCTGTGAAATGGATGTTTTCAAGTCATTTAGGTATGGTTTTACTGTCATATGTCCAACCCCCATCTATACACCTATATTGGTACAGTTTCCTCTCTCCTTTAATATTTATTGGCATCAGAAAAAAAAAAAGTTAACATAATTTCTAGCTACTTAGGTAAATGAAAAAACAAGATTCAAAGAATCAAATGAACAAAAACATCAGGCTACAAATAAACACAACATTCAGTTATCATACCTGAATATCCCCAGAGTAGTTGTTGTGCTAGAATACAATTAAATCCAGTCTTAGAAAATGCCAGAATTGTCACAATTTCACATGATGGCTACAGAAATTATTCTATATCTTAAGATAACACTGTCTATGGAATCTTACACAACATATGTAAAAGAAAAGCCATACACACAAGTCCAAATATAGCAGAATATACATTTAAGATTTAAAAACGTATTTCAATGCAAACTAAATCCAAACTACATAAAGGTGGGGAATCTTAGTTTAGAAAGAGAGCAAAGACAAGAGCGGTAGGAACTCAGTATGTATAAATTACATTTCAACCACATAAGTAAAGTCATTTGATAAGCTCCCAATGTACTTTTGTACAGATGACCATCATGTGACATTCAGATATACTAGGTAAGAATTAAAAAAGGGAAGACGTGTGATTTGTGGAGCAAATCACTCCATAAATTGGGGTGTCTCTACAAAGTAGGTACACGAGTTTTAGAGTATCTCTATGAAGTAAATAGAATTCTGACTCCACGATAAAGTAAGGGAGGCTTAATCATACATTTTCACCGCTTGCCTATGGTAACCATAAATAATTTCAAACTTCAAAGAGCTGCTCCATGGCCATCGAAGCCATGATCAAGTACGACTCCACAGCTCTGTAGATGTGTGCATATTTGGGTACCTTAGGCTACACTTGGGAGCTAACACAGAGAACACGCTCTTACCAACGGAAGTTAAGCTCTCCTAATCTGAATACCCTTCCAATTACATGAGACGCAATACTGACTGTTAGAGATGGAGAAAAAAACAAGACCTCGCGCCACGTCTCACAGTCTAATGGGGAAGGCGGACCTTAGACCTGATTGTAAACGATTAAGCAGGTACACGGGTATGGGTACGAGTGATACGAGGAGCTCCGTGCTCCATGGGGACACGCGGGCCATGAGACAGACGAACACGAGGGAGCCAGATGGGGGGGGCAGAGGAAACCAGGTGCGCACCTAAGGGAGGACAAGGACAGGCTGTCTCCCAGGTATGAGAAAGATCAAGGGAGACAATCAAGGAGACTATTAATAATAATCACAGTGCCAGCCAACACTGATAGACCCTTTCCATGTACCAGGAATCTTTAGAACACCCAGAAAATGGAACCACATAATGCAGGGCCTCATCAGAAACGTTAAGAATTTTGGCCTTTGTTCAAAGGAAAAAGGCAGAAGCTTTTGAAAGATTTTCAGAGAAGAAGTGGGAAAAACATCAGAAAGATCATCGTAGCCATACTGTTGCTGTATTAACTAGAGAGGCAAGGCCGGACGTGGGGAGACTTTGGTTATGCCGTATTCCAGGTGAAACATAACGGTGGCCAGAAGGAGGGTGAGGTGGGGTTGGGAGGCGTCCTAAGACAGGGCCCTTCTGTCCAAAAGGCAGCTGTGAAAGTAGGAACCTAGAACATCCTCACGGCACAAATCCTGCACCAAAATCTTTGGAATACTGCTGATCTATGTATCTGAGGCTGGCACCTGAAATTGCTTCTTCTGAAAAGTTCTGCATATATATACGTGTATACATATGTGTATATTTGTGTGTGTATATGTATACACATATATGTATATGCATATACATACATACATACAGGACTATCTCCACAACGAACTGTAAATCATTGCAAAGTAGTGTCAACGTGGACCAGGGGAATACACAGCCCCTCCAGACACAACGTCTGCAGTCTGTCCCCTGAACGTCTGAGATGGAACACGGGGCCAGCTCCTCCGTGAGGTCCCCCACCCACCCCGACCTGCCACGCCCTGCTTGCACCGACTCTGCTCTCAGTGTTTGACACATGACCCGTCACACTAACTGGCAGGGTTATTTGCACTGCTGTCCCCACTGGGTTGTGAGCTCCTTCACTTCTACTCTTCTTTCTGTTGCTTCCGTTCAGCATGATGCCTGGTACCCAGGGAGAAATTCAGACAAATGGTTACTGGGAGTCTTTGGTCATGGAACGGAGCAAGGCAGGAGGCCATATGTAATAAGCAAGTATGAAAGTATTTTAAATAACAAATAGGATCCTGCTGCTAACCTAACAGGCTTTCCTACCATTTGTCTGACTTAACTGCTTTTTCCCTCCTGATGTCCTCCAAAATCCATCTATCCGCTCTTCTAACTACTCTCTAAATTCTGACAGTCAAGCGTTTACTCGAGCAACGTAACACTCAAACGACTCCAATGAACACGACAATATACGGAGAGCAAGTGAGAGGACAGAAGATGTTCGTTTGAGGATGAAGTACTAAACCACGGGCACGACCCCAGGGATTCCTCTGCCGCTTCATCTTCGCGCTCCTGCCTGCTGCAACACAATCCCCAGCCCCGCATACGGAAGCGTGAACGTGTCCAAGCAGACTTGTCAAACGGGCACTGCGAGTAAGAAACAAAATAAGGGATCGTCCCTGCTCTCAGGGATTTTCTAGCCCAGCACGGCAAAGTTAGGACCGTGAGAAGGCCAGGGGGACTAAAGGGACCACGTCCTGAGCTCCCCGAGCAGAGGAGGGGCATCTACCCCCACTGAGCAGGGCAGGGCATGCGAGGGGCGGCCCACGCGAGGGGCGGCCTGTTGGAGACACGTGTGGGCTGAAGAGTAGGCGACGAACACAAGCCAGCGGGGCAGGTACAGGACGGGGAGGGTGTTCCAGGCAAAGGGAACGCGGTGTACAAAACCCCAGACACGACAAAACTTTCACTGGGGTAAAAGCAATTACCGAGCGGCCGCCGTGACACGGCTCTACGTGCTACGCGGCGGTGGCAAGTGTCACAGGACACAGGGCCCTGCGCTCGCCGAGCCTCTCAACCTACAAGTGCTTGTGACGGCAAGAACAGAAGGGGGACACTGCGGGAACCAAGGCAGGACATGGCGAGGTCCCCACCACAGAAAGCCCTGTCGCCCGCACGAACCACACCAGGTCTGCCCGGGAGGAAGCGGCATCCGCTGGGGATCCCGAGCAGGGGAGGGGTGCGTTCGGTGAAGAGCGAGCCCGGGAGCAAGGGGCTCTGTGAAAAGCCGCCTCGGCTACCACGGTGGCAGCACAGGAGGCGGAAGCCGGATGGACAGAACCGGGAAGCAGGGGCAACGGATCTGGGGGAGGAGGACTCGAGTCGTGAAAATGTTGATTTCGAGACACTTGCAGACCTCCGAGTCCAACGCGGCAACGGCGGCTGTTCCGTCGGTACTCACGACGAGCCCGGGACGGTGCTGAACTGTGTGCACCGCGGACACATCACGCCGCGGTCACAGTCATGACTCCTGCGAGTGAACAGCACGGCAGAGCTCTTCTCATACGAGCCCTGCCGCGGCACCGCAAACGGAATAAAGTCCAGGTAGTACGTTGTGACTGCCTGCCTTCCCTGACCCACCCCGTGTTTGCCTGCCATTAACCTTGAAATAAAGCGATCTTGCATCGGGTATCGCTGAATCTTGAAGGCCTCAGCTACGCCCTCGTGGAAGGATGTTACTGTATTACCAGGTTACTGATCAGGAAACACAGGCTAACTTGTTCAAAGTCACACAACGGAGGAGGCAGGAGTGAGCCCAGATCTGCGTGACTCCCAAGTCCTGACACATAACCACTACGCCACACTGTCCCTCCTGGGACTGGGATGCTAACTGGAGATCAGCGGCTCTTACACACACCTGGCAGCGGGGGCCCGGGGCCGCCTCACTCAAGGACAGAGAGGAGCAAAACAGAAGAGCGCAGAGGCGCCTGGGTGGCTCAGCTGGTTAACTGTCTGACTCTTGATCTCGGCTCAGGTCATGATCTTTCAGTTCGTGAGCTCGAGCCCCGCATCTGGCTCTGCGCTGATAGCTCAGAGTCTGCTTGCGCTCGCTCTCTCTCTCTCCCTCTCAAAATAAGTAAACTTGAACAAAAAAAGTCAGCGCTGAGAAGAGCTCCTGAACTAGCCCATATGCGGTGGATAAACTCAGGTACAGAATTCACAAAGAATTCTGGGAAGCAGGCATAAGAACAAGGACACAGAAAGAGAATGGTGTCATAAAAGCCAAGGAGTTCAAAGAGGGTGTGAGCAACAGCATCGAAGCTTCAGGGAGATGAGGGAAAAGTGACAAAAAGTCCACCGGATTTAACAAAAAAAAAGTCATTAAAGGGTGACCTCGGCCCGGCAATTTTATCAGAATGCTAGCAGAAGCAAATGTTCATCTGCAGTGATAATGGATGATAAGGAGGTACAGACTTGATAAGCACGCCCCACTCGCTCTAGAAACTGGACCGGGACAGACTGCAAGAAAGGAAATCAAAGTCAGGCTTTGTTCTGTTTTCCCCAAGAAGGAAGAGACTGGAACACATCCACAGCTAACAGTAAAGGGGCAGTCGCAGCAAAGAGTGAAAACACAAGCAGTAACTTAACGTTTAGCTCTGGATTCTAGACGTGATACAAGTAAAACTGTCAACTGAGACAGATTTTACTTGAGCTATGAAATCAGAGAAGTACCCACGGCAGAGAAAAAACCCTCATGTTTTAATTCTATGCCCAGAACTTTCAAAAACGGGCAACGGATGGTTACTGAGAGTCCAGTTCCTGGTTCACAGCTTTAGATCCTGATGGTAACAGCACTGCACACTCATGGAACTTGACTCCTGGAACTTGGACTCATCTTTAGTCTGCCACCCCCATCCCAATTCCCTTCCCTTGTATTTAAATAAATACGTGTATGATCGGTAGCAACTTGTCCTTTACTCATTATCCTCAAAAACACCATATACTTTAAAAGACACATCACAAAGAATATGCTTTATACCCTTAACCAACGGGACGAATCCAGAATTTTTCAAGCCAATCTCCAACTTCGAAAAAGTTCAGGCAACAGTTCCCTAATGGAAAAGATGCTGGTGGAAGTTGAAAGGTGACCTTAAACTGAGAACCATGGTGATTTTGCCCCCGAAACCCTTCTGTCTTTTCCTAAAAAGAATTCGCAATATAAAGGACACCCATCCTTTGCCAAGACCTCAGGAGCCCCCTTTCCTGACCCTTCCATCTGTCTGCAGTCCCCGGAGCTGACAACGCACAGCTGCACACAACTCGGGAGGGCAGGGCGGTATGGGTGACATAAGGCTGGTGGGTGC